TTATCTACCCCTCTCTCTCTCTCTCCATCCATCCATCCATCCATGTCTGTCAGGTCTGTCTGTCTGTTTATCTGTACATCCATCAATCTATTTATCTACCCCTCTCTCTCTCTCTCCATCCATCCATCCATCCATGTCTGTCAGGTCTGTCTGTGTATCCATCCATCCATCCATCCGTCCGTCCGTCCGTCCGTCCGTCCACCCTTTATAAAAGCCAGTTTGGTTTACTGGTGAAGGGACCAGGCTAGAAACCAGAAGACAGTGAGTTCTAGTTCCTGCCTTATGCACGAAAGCTGGCTGGGTGTCCTTGGGCCAATCGCCAGGAGACGGTGAGTTCTAGTCCCCTGTTAAGATATGAAAGCCGACTGGCTGGGTGACCTTGGGCCAATCGCCAGGAGACGGTGAGTTCTAGTCCCATGTTGAGATATGAAAGCCGACTGGGTCTGTAGATCAGTGTGAGTTCTAGTCCCACCACAGGCACGAAAGCCAGGTGGGTGAACTTTGGGCCGGCCCCTCTCTACCTGCCCAACCCACCTCATAAGGTTTGTTACGGTAGAATAAATATTAAGATACGTTCGCTGCCTTGAGCTTTTGTTAAATAAAATTAGTAAAGGCAGGGTAAAAAGAAACAAGTCAAACGAACGGAGAGAAGTCCAAGGGAGCAGCACATGTTCCTTTCTGTTCCTGGGAGGGAGCAAGAGAGGCACCAGAGCTGCCTGGCTCCCTTATCATTTTGCCAGGAAACCATCAAACAGGCAGGCGCTACTCACATCTGTCACTGCTTCCTCCAGGAGCTTCTTCAACAAGGGGCTGGAAGAGAACCGGAATTCCTTGGATCCTGCGAGATGGAAAGAAGACGCTTGAGCTCTGGAGCTACCAGGCGGCATGAGAAAAAGGTTGGCCAATTTTAGACTGGAGAGCCGGGTTAAGGTTGGCTGGCCTGGAGTTACTTATAAATTAACAAAACTGGGATAACAAATAAACACACAAACGATCTTCCAATGTCCTCTTGCACATCTCTCTGGGTCTGTGCAAGGCTCAGAGGCAGGCGAGCAAAGGTGATGCTGAGGGAAGATGCTAAGTCAGCGGTGGCGAACCTATGGCACGCGTGCCAGTGGTGGCACTCAGAGCCCTCCCTGTGGGCACGGATGCTCCTGCCCCAGCGCAGCTCCATCGCCTTTCTCCCAGGGGGGGGGGGAGTGAAAGAGAGGGGGAGAGAAAGAGGGGGAGTGAGAGAGGGGAAGAAAGATGGAGAGGGAAAGAGGGAGGGAGGGAAAGAGAGAGAGGGGGAGTGAGAGAGGGGGAGAAAGACAAAAAGAGAAAGAGGGGTAAAGGGGGGGGAGAAAGACAGAAAGAGAAAGAGGGAGGGAGGGAAAGAGAGAGTGGGGAAAAAGAGAAGGAGGGAGAGAAAGAGAAAGGGAGAGAGGGGGAGGGAAGGAGAAAGGNTTCTACACACATTTCAACAGCCCTGAAATGAAGCTGGCATTAAATTAAATCAGAGATTGCCTCATTGCTCCTCCTTGCTGCCTGGAGCGCTTCTCAAGGGCTCATTACATTGTGGTCTGACGGGCTCTCAGCTAGCTTCCTGTAGGAGTAAAAATCAGGCACACCAGGTTCGCTGGTTAGCCAATCAACATTCAGCAGTTTTAAGCAGGCCTGAACAGCATGCCAATTGGCAAAGGAGCCAGGGACCCCTGTAATGGAAGGAGCTTGTAATTGCAAGTGGCCCTTGAGTTACAACAGCAATTGGGTGTGGAATTTCCTTAGCTAATGTAGGCAAAATGTGTGACACCGTATCATTATTGCTGTTAAGCGAGGACAGTGGATCGTTAAGCGAGCACCTCCATGTAACCTGCCAGCTTCCAACAACCAAGTCAGTGAGGAAGCCAAGGGAAAGTTGCAAGTCCCAGGCGGTAGGCCAGCAGGCAGGCAAGAGGCTACTGTCTTAGAACAACTTTACTGTCACTTTGAATGTACCCTAATCGGCATATATTAAAATGGAATTTCGTTGCATCCAGCTCTCAAAGGGTCTCTACCTCCAATATACACTACATAAACATGACAGAATAAATACAAAATTATGCCTACAGCCAAGCGCTGAGACGGTCGGAACTTTGAGGACCAGTCGTAACAGTCGCTGAACAAGGGGCTGCTAACCAGAGACGGTCTACCACAGTGCGTTGAAAACAGATGACTGATGGGGCTAAAAGTGCGTAACAATAGACAATGTTACTCTAACCTTACTCTGGCACATTCACTCTCATATACATAAACAGCCTTACCATGTTAAATATTGCTTTCCTGGCGTGATCCATAATTCCAGATTTCTTCAGCTACTTAACTGGTACCTAGAAGTCAGAAAACACAAGTTTCTTAGCAATGCTTCACTGGCAGGAAGGCTAATTTAACAAGGTACAGCTATCGAGCCTCTAGAAATTATTATGATTTATTTAATAATGCAATTGTATTAATGCAACACTCTTTGTGTTGCACAAGTTTAATTACAACTTGAACCTTGGATTACATTTAATGTAGTGTAAGTTTAACATACAACTTGTACACTAGATTACATGAAGGTTAAAACATATAAAGAACGTTTGCAGGAATTGGGTATGTCTAATGAAAAGGACTAGGGGAGAGATGATAGCATTCTTCCAATATTTGAGGGGCTTCCACAAAGAAGAGGGAGTCAAGCTATTCTCTAAAGCACCCGAAGGTAGGACAAGATCAAGGAGAGAAGCAACCTAGAACTAAGGAGGAATTTCAGTTAGAACAATTAACCAGTGGAACAACTTGTCTCCAGAAGTTGTGGGTGCTGCAACACTGGACGCTTTTAAAAAGGGACCGGGACAACGTTTCTCTGAAATGATGCAGAGTCTCTTGCTGAGCAGGGGGTTGGACTAGAAGACCTCCAAGGTCCCTTCTGACTTTTGTTATTTTGTTGAATGATATTAGAACGTAGCATGTTTCCCATAGATTCGCCAAACCACACCCATTGCTTTCGCAGTTACGGTATTATTAATGAATAATACGGTTTCCAGGCATTAGCGCAAGTCCAGGTTTATTGACATTCTGCTAATAACCTGGCAACTGTGAGAAAGCAGAAAACTTCTGCAGGTGGCACCGCTCTCTCTACTCAGACGTAAAACATAGGCCCCCACCCCCAGGGAATTAATCCAACTTTAAGGATGCTAACATGTTCTTGCGTTGCATGACAGCAATGGGCAGCCCTAGGCCTGAGGCTTCAAGAGTCTCATATAGCCAGGGTGACGTTCAGCAAAATCTAGAAAATAAATTTGCATTCCCCATTGTAAACCGTATGCAAACTTGTAAAGCTGAAGTCGAAACAGGGAGAGTTATTTCCCACGAACTGCACTAAACAGGAAATATAACAAAATCAACATAAAATGTAGGCTTGGGATAAATTCTGGGGATTAAAAGATCTCAATAAAAGGATTAGCACTAGAAACAGAGAACAAACAGACGCCCTTTTTCCATCTCAGGTCCCAGCATTTCAAGGCACAGAGCCATCTGAGAGCTATCAAGATACTCAGAAGACCACAAATGGCTTTTAAATTGCCATGAGATCATCTCACAGTGTGCTATAGACAAACACTGTCAATTACTTCCCTCTGCTTCCCCTACCCTTAACGCTGATGAGACAGTGATTTGCAGGCAGTCCTTGACTTACGAACACAACTGAGCCCCGGAATTCTGCTGCTAAACAAGGCAGTTGTTGAATCAATTCTGCCCCATTTTATGACTTTTCTTGCCAGAGCTGTTAGTTGAGAATTGCAGTGTTTCACCTCACAAAGAGGGTCATGGGTTGCCCCCTCCCCTCGTTGGAAGAGCTTTATAGCTCCCTCTGCCTTAAGAAAGTTCAAAACATCCTTAAAGATCCATCTCTTCCTGGGCACCCCCCCCCCTTTTTTGAACTATTACCATCTGGCAGACGGTACAGGAGAATAAAAACCAGGACAAATAGGTTGAAAAACAGCTTCTATCCCAGGGTAGTAACTATATTGAATTCTACTGTATAGTGCAATATTAATGCAACATCAGGTTTTAAATTTCAATTATATAAAATGTGAAGGGTGTGTGTTTTCTGTTTTTATTTTTATAGTTGTAATGTTCACCAAAGACGCCATTTAATTTCGCTGTACCAGGTGCACTGACAATGAAGTAAACTAAAGATTGCAATTCTTAAAGTGAGTGATGGGGTTGTGGAGTGAATCCAGCTTCCCCATTGACTTTGCTCCTACGTGGTCGCAAAAGGGGATCGCGTGACCCCCCAGGACACTGCAACCGTCGTAAATATGAGCCAGTTGCCAAGTGTCTGCATTCTGATCACGTGACTAGAGGGATACTGCAATGGTGCGAAAAATGGTCATACTTTTGTCAGTGCTACTTAACTACGGTCACTAAATGAATTGTCAAGGACTACCTGTATTAAAATACTAACATTAAGTCCACCTTACTGGGATGTGGAAGCTACCAAAGTATTGTCTATCTTGAATTAACTTGCTTTGTTTTTGATAATTGGTTTTATTACAAGCTGCTTTGAACAAAGTCCACTACAAGGGGGAAAAAAACCCACCCCTAATTTTTTTTTGGGGGGGGGATTGGCTTCCTACAGGTAGTTTTCAATTTACAACAGTTCATTTAGTGACCATTTAAAATTACAGCAGCACTGAAAAAGGGACTTATGACCTTTCCCCACACTTACGACCGGTGCAGCATCCCACCCCCCATGCATGTGATCAAAATTTGGGTGCTTAGCAAACTGGTTCATATTTATGACGGTTGCAGCGTCTCCGGGGTCACCTGGTCCCCCTTCAGCGACCTTCTAACAAGCAAAGTCAATGGGGGGAAGCTGGATCCATTTAACGACCGTGGAAGGAAAGGTGCTAACCGCTAACATAATTGCAGTGATTCAGTTAACCCCTTTGGCAAGAAAGGTCGTAAAAGCGGGCAAAATTCACTTAGCGGAGGGTCTCGCTTAGCCATAGAAATTTTGGATTTAGATGCGGTTGTAAATCAAGGACGGTGTTATTGTCCTGATAACTTTCCCCTGCCTTTTTTTATAGGTAACTCAACATGGGGGGTAACGAAGGTTTCGGTTAGCAACGTATATTTATGGCTCAATTGTGGTCATAACTCAAGGACTGCCTGTATTGTTTCCAGCTGGCCTGCCCGCGTTTTAAACAAGGGTTTGACTTTCAGCCAGTTCTTCATAAGGTACGCCAAGTGCTCCCTTTGAGAGCAGCTGATGAGGTCCATTGTGTCCTGCACCAAATTGTTCAGACTTAAATTCCCAATGCTCCTATTGCAGACCCATATTTCACCCCCACCCCACCCCAAACTTGCATACTTTCTTGGGTTCCTTTAATGACTGTTTAAAGTTAAACCGGCACTGAAAAAAAGTGACTTAAGACTCTTTTTCACACTTAACGACACATTGCAGCCTCCTCCCCGTGGCCACATGATCAAAATTTGGATGGTGGCTCGTATTTATGACAGTTGTCATGTGATCCCCTTCTGCGACCTTCTGGCATGCAACGGGGAAGCTGGATTCACTTAAGAAACATGTTACTAACTTAATATTTGCCAGGTTTCACTTAACAACGGTGGGCAGGAAAGGTCATAAAATGGGGCAAAATGACCTAATAAATGTTTCACTTAGCAACAAGTTTAGGGCTCAAATGCAAGGTTTAAGTCGCTTCCATGCTTTGTTCTTTTAAAAACAAAACCCAAAAGGTATTTTAGACGTCTGCATATTTAGAATCAATGGAATGAGAGCAATTTCTACAGCTAAACGAGAAGCCATTCTCAAGTTGCAGGGCAACGATAGAAATCTTAATTCTTGGCAAAAGCTTGGGGCTTGCACATGTTCTGGCTAGAACAGATTAACCGTTTCACAGAAAGCTGGATGCATTCTGGTTAGTTTGGACTGCTATGCGTGAGATATGAAGCAAATCAGACCCCGCCTTTTCAGGAGAAGATATGAAGAAATAGGCCACTGCAAATTTGAACAGGACTTCATAGTATAA